ACAAAATATCTGGACCCTTCCATGGTAGGTGTAGGAGAAAGGCCCTAAATATTTGAATGCACAAGATCAAAACGAGAAGTAGAAATAAAATTACTTTTATTAAAAGGTAAGGCAGGTTGTTTAGCAATTTGACAAGATAAACAATCGACATCTTCAAGACAAACACGACCTAACTGACCACTAGAAACTAAATTTTTCAAATGACTAAAAGAGACATGTCCTAAGTAACAATGCCAAAGATGAAAAGAAGACACAGTAGATGCAGCAGCAACAATATATGATTTGTGTGGACTGTGAAGATGGATAAGTTCGAATAGACGTCCATGCTTACGGCCTACCCCAAGGATCTGTCTCGTCTGAGGGTCCTGCACCAAACAACCATTAGCAGAGAAGGTAATAATTAGACCAAGTTTACATAACTGACCAACAGAGATAAGGTTCATTTTAAGAGAAAGGAATAAGGTAAGCATCAGAAAGAGACACAGTGGAAGTAGAGATTTGGCCAATATGACTAACAGGCATATGAGAACCATCAGCAGTGTATAGTGGGAGCAGAAGAGGATGATGATAGAGAAGAAAATAAAATGGAGTCAGAAGTCATGTGATTACAGCATGCGGAATCAAAATACCAAGAAGAGTTACCTGAGGTTACTGAAAGAGTAGAGGAAGGAGTACCAGATTTGTTGAGAACCTGGTGGATACTGGACTCAACATCATCCATAGAGAAGAAAGGAGTAAAAGAACCCTCAAAGGCAACAGCAGCAGAGCGAGAACCATGGCCAGATTTAGACTGAGACCTAAAATGAGAAGCCCCTTTCTTAGATGAAGTAGTGAAGGGAGCTCGAGGACAATTGCTTTGGAGATGGCCTGGAGCAGTCTTGTGACAAGTCAAGCATTCACGAACCTGGCAGTGAATAAAAGAACAATTGGATAGCAGGCCTCGGTTGCGACAATAACTGCATAAGATTGGCTGTGAAGATGAGAAACTCTGATAAGATGGCGTAGCAAGAGCAAAATCCATGTCTTAAGATCGAAGACTCCCAAAACAAGTCTCCTCTGATAGGAGCTCAGTAATGGCTTACTCTAAAGTGGGCAAGGGCAAACGATGGAGCAAAGAAGCACGCACGGGCTCAAAAGTGTTATGAAGAGCCATAAGAAACCATAATAGTCGCTGATGATTCCGATAAGTAATAAATAGTTGTGCATCATCAGAATGGGCCCATGGAGGTTCAAAAAGAGTAAGCTGGTCCCAAACAGACAACATTTGGGATAGGAAGTCATTGAGAGACTGACCGGGTGCTTGGCGCATATGATGAAGAGTTTGCAACAGTTGATACTGATGAGCATGTCCAGTGGTCTAATAACGTTCCTTCAAGAAATCCCAAATTGCTTTGGCAGGAGAGGCAAGGGAGTCATCATCCTGAAAGCGTCCAAATTGAAGGTTGATAGATGGAACTAAGGTAGCCCGGAACCATGTGATAATTTGATAATTCTTACTTTCCTATTCGTCAAGACGGTCATCAAATGTAGAGTCTGTCTCATCCACCTTCTGGATGGGTTTGGGAAGAGTACCAGTAATGATCCGCCAAAGGCGTCTGCCTTTGATGAAACTCGAGAGAGCTTGAGCCCAACCAACATAATTGGACCCATCAAGGATAACAAAAACATATTGGATGTTCTCTATACGATCCATAAATGCCAAAACGGAGGTCACCAACAGATTCAGAAGGCTGAAAAACCTTAGGGATAGGTAGGGCTGGTGTCAACATTGTGGCTGTGATGATGTCAGCAGCGAAGCAGTGGCGGAGTAGGGTTGACGTTAGCGGCTGAGGAATAGGGGAAACGGCTGAGAGAAGCCAACCGGAAGCCAAGGAGAGGCGGCTGATGCAGAAGCCAGCGTCTGATCGGCTGAGGCATAGGGGCAGAAGCCGATGGGCAAGCCGACGTCGGATCGGCTGAGGCGCTGGCGCAGAAGGACGGCTGATGAGGAAACCGACAAGCAAGCCGAGGAAAGCCGGCTGAGACGATGCGTGTAGGAGTGTAATGAGAGTGGAGGCGGCGTCAACCGACGCCCTGAGCTTTGGGAGGCGTGTGAGGGCGCGTGTTCTTTCCGATGGAGGTGAATCTAGTGGCATTGGCTTCGTCGTGAAGAAACGAAGAGGTAGGTGTAGTCCAAACGTTGAAAGAAGAATGAAAGAAATACACATAACCCAGCAGAACCTGACAGAAGACAAAAGCAATCTGCCAAAAAAAAAAAATTGGGAGGAAAGAAAAAAATGCTAGGAGAGATCCCTAGGCTCTAATACCATGTTATGAAAGCAGAGAGATTGTATATTGAATTGTATTGAATGAATTACAAGAAGCCTATATTTATAGGCTGAGAAGAAACCTAGATAAGCGTAGAGAAGAAGATAGAGATACATCAGAAATAAGTATAGAAAAAGATATGAGATACATCTACAATATAGAGAGATAAATATAGAATAATAATATATATATCTAATACTGTATTTTTTAAAATTTCAAGAAAAGTGAATGTAATTTATTCAAAATAAAAATTGGCTAAGCATGCAAATTAAACACAATTTTTTTTTTTTGTTTTTTGGTTGGGAGGTAGGGTGTTGTTGATGAATGGTATGATGGTTATGGACCTATGTTGTCAAATAAAACAGAGACCATTACCTAAGAAAGGTTTCCTAGGCAATCTTCAAACCGAAAAAGCAGCCCCAAAAACAGAGGACATGAAAACACATCAAAATTGGACCGCACATATAAAAAGATTCCACTGTAATTGGGTTCCTAGTGCTCTTAGTCTTTTTAGCAGCATTACTGTCCTTTTAGCCACTGGTGCAACCCTACGCAAGCTCCACTATCAAAACATGTAAACCACTTCCCTTCTCCAATAATATATATATATATATTTAGAGAAGTGGGTTGATTTTTTATTTATTTTTTTTACTATTTTAGTTTAGGTTAAAAAGTTTGGTTTGGGAAGAATTTTTTGACTTTTTTAATTTTTTTTTAGAGAATAATGTAATAATTATGGGTTGGATGTGATATTTTATTTTTTGTGATTAAAATAACTTATTTTGTCTTTTGTGACTAAAATAGCTAAAAAAGTCCCGTTTAGTTCTTCCCAAATGGAGTCAGAGGAAAATTTTAACATACACTTTTAAAAGACGTGTACTATATACCTTCTAATTATATTATTTTTTTATAATTAATTTTCTTATTTAGTTATAATATTATTTTAGTTATGCGTTATAATATTTCTTTTAGTTATGAATCAAAAATATACAATTACACCATTTTTATTTTAATTATAAGATGCATATTATAAACAATCTTTAAAAAATGTGTACCATAATATTTCTTATATATAAATACATAAGATTTTATACAATGAGATATAAATATAAGAGAAAATGTGAGTCTCATACAGAGACACACGTGGGTCCATTATGCATGCGACTCATAATTAAAATTTACTCATGCTACAATAATCACATATTGTTTATTATACAGTGTCTATACAGTAAATATTTTGAACAAAAATATAATTATAATTATAGAATCAATCTTATTCTTTTATAATGATCTATCTTATAAAATGAATTAATGGCATCGTCAAAGTGACCCCTATAGGCTCAATTGGACTATCACAACAATTTATCTCCTTTTTTAAAGCCTCCTTTGGCAACCATTTTTAAGCTGGTTTTTTTGTTTTGTTTCATCATTTTCTCCTTTATTTGTATTTTTTTATTTGGCTTTTGACCGAGTCTAAAATCTAAAGAAAATTATTTCCAAACGAGGTCTTAACAGGTGCATTTCATGGGTCCCATATTGAATTCTCTTCTTGACTGCAAATTTGCTTGTTGTGTACGTAATTAATTAGACTTGCACCAAAATTCAAGGATCAAGAGTCTCCTTATAATAGTTGAACCTTCAAATGAAGAAAACATAGCATACCACGTTTTTTCAAAACCAAGAATATTTCCAACAACTAGAGAAATTTCACATTCTGAATTGACATTTATGATACAAAAAATCAATTAAATATGGTTTTGCTTAATTGGGGAACATGTCTAATCTAAGCAAGCAAATGTGCAAAAAGAAAACTACTACGAGTCTCATCCAATTAAATTTTAGGGTGTAAATTACATTAATCATGCTTTAGATTTCTAAAAAATATATATAATAAATATCTTTAGTTTGATATAATTACACTAATATAAAAAATAATATAGATGATTTGTATACAAATCAATAAATGAGGATAAAAGTATATATTTTAGTGTAAAAAATACGATAATTTTTTTTATAAAGTGACACTATAACAATTTTCTATTAATAAAATTTACGAATTTCATTCGAAAAAAAAGAGCTAAATACTATGTGAATTAAAAGAGGTTAGTGTAAGTCTATATTTTATTATGAAGACATAATTGTCCTAACTTTAGATGAAATATTGATCCAATATTTTTTTCTTCATAGATGATGCATGAATTTAGTTCATTTGCAGCAAAATTTCAAAATATCTTTTTCGGGGTAAGTTATTCTGAAATAGTAATTTTAGAATAACTTATCTTGCCAAATTTTATTAGTGAATCATATATGTGATCTTAAAGACTTTAGGTTAATCCTGCTCAACTATTAAAAATACAAATATAAAAAATATTAAGTAAAACAAAAAAACCGAACAAGATAAACCCATTTTCTTAATTAGCAGCGACAAGCCTGCTGCATTTTGATATAACGTTTATTGTTGGAAAATACTAATGAGGGCTGAATATTATCGCCTCAATGCAAATATAAAAATTATGTAAAAATATTCAAGTGAAAAGTGCATTGTAATTCTAATGATTTTGACATTTTATATTTTATGACAAGGATTTTCATTAGTAAGAACTTTATTCTTTGAAAAACTTAAAAACTTTGCATAAGTAGAAGGCCATTGAAGAAAGGCAATTAATTGAAATATGAATAAACAGAAATTTAAATAATAAATAAAGAAGCAATCAATACATTAGACTTCTTTTAACTAGTATACAATCTTCAAACCCACATCTCTTTAGGGGTACTCTATTACGACTATTAACCAAATGCTACTTAAACAAATGCCTACTAACCAAATGCTACTTACACAAAAAAATTACTCAAAAATTTTCTCGAATGTGAAATCTACGGTACAGATTCAAACTTCTCGTTGTGGAGCTAAAATTTGAACAAATCTTGCCCGTAAATATCAAATTCCAAATATTTTTTTGAGTACATTTTTTGTTTGCTGAGTAGCATTGCTGACTAAACCCTATACAACAAAAAGACCATACGCCTCCCCAAAACTCACATTCATTTACAATGAACACACCACCATTACGAATAGTAATGTTACAGGCAAAGAAAAGTGCAAAGAAAAATCAACACGTAACACATTCATTCTTGGTGTTTGTCGCCACCAATTTAAAATGAACTGTGGTCACATAATTAATTTTTCTATGTACTTGTTTTAAAATAAATAAATAAAAATTCTATGCACGTAACATTACTGCTACGACTCTTATCAACATTGTTGTTGTTTTAGAGTTGGAAGTTTTTAATTCCATGGTGATCTGTGATCTCTCTTCCTTCCTCCTCTCTCTTTCTTTTCGGCAGAGACAAGGAAGATATGGCCTTTGCTGATACCACCTTCCTCACTAGTAGCTTCCATCTTTCATCGTCACGCTTTTTCTCTTGTTTTGCTTTCAATTTGAATTCCCTGTCACGTAACACCACAATAACATCAAACTCTATTACCCCTAAGGCCCGTTTGTTTCACTAGATATAAAATGAAAGATATAATATGATGTGAGATTTAGTTAGGATATATAATGAATAGGATATAGGTATTGGATAGCATATCCCCCAAGTCATGTTTGTTGACTTGATATATAAGATTGAATATATGTTATGCATGTTTACAAAATATTTTGTGGGATATAACAAGTAATTTCCAAGATTGCCCTCATAATATTATATTATATTAAATTAAATAAATTCAATAATATTTATATTATATTAAATTCAAAAAAATATATTAAATTATATTATGTTAGATAGATAAAAGGGTAAATTGGACTTTTTACATCATATCCCAACTAAGGGGATATGATATAATGGGAGGGGTGGATATTGTATATCCTCCACTTTTGGGAGATATACAATCCCACCGGATATTATATCCCCTTCAAAAAAAAATTGCAAACATGGGATATATAGACCCCACCGGATATAATATCCAATCTCAAACTTCATATCCCCCAATCAAACAGTGCCTAAATTCTTAAACATACACTAAAATTATAGAAATCACTTACTATACTGTGCGAGAAATCCCACATCGATCTGTGAGGGACTACTTTCCCACCTTATATGCAGGCTGGCTCCTCTTACCTTGCATAGGCCTTTTCCCCAGTGGGAGAGGAATAAAACCGTGCGGTCGGGAATGCCAAAGCGGACAATATGTGCAAGGCACGGGGACCAATGGCTTTATTTGGCGCTGTCTGTGGGAATCGAACCCAGCCTGCTTATAAGGTGGGAAAGTAGTCCCTCACAGACCGATGTGGGATTTCCCGCACATTAGCCCCCAGCCACGCTGGCTTCGGTCACCCCGGATGGAGTTCCCACATACGGCGCCAAATAAAGCCGCCACTGGTTCCCGTGCCTTGCACATATTGTCCGCTTTGGTATTCCCGACCGCACGGTTTTGTTCCTCCCTCACTGGGGGAAAAGGCTTATGCAAGGTAAGAGGAGCCAACCTGCTTATAAGGTGAAAAAGTAGTTCCTCACAGACCGATGTTGAATTTCCCGCACATATACAAAAGTAAAATAAGAGAGGTATTGGACTTTTTGCAGGGGTGAGAGACAAGACTAATGTATGTAACAAAGAGCCAAATAGTTTTGGAACTATGTTACCAATAATAATAATGATTTTTAGGAGTTAAAGGTAGACATATATCCAATCTAATCCAATAAACGATGAGATCCCAAAATTTCGTTTCAAAGATGTCTATGTCAAAATATTTCAGAAAATTATATATCCCAAGGGCCCAAAGGCATATAGTTAAAAAACAGGTATCATAACTAGGTAAAGTTCTTGTGTGGATCACTTCTTTCCTTATTTCACTTGTATTTTTGTGTTCACAGCCTTGTGTTGTTGAACTTTTATTATTTGTATTCCATTTAAAACCTATCATAATGATTCAAATAGTAATTGAAAAGCTAATTAAATTTTTATGAACTATCTTTTCAAAATCAAATAAGACAACTCTCATGATTTTCTAGCATGAATATAAATGGGAAAGCAACTAGACATTCATTAGGAAAGATTGAGATAGGGATCTAAAGGTGGAGAGCCGAATGCAATTGGGATAAAGAAGAGTTTGGTGTCTTATGTCAAAAAGATCTCCATTGCATTTTTTGGCCTTATTAGTTGGGTACATATCCCCTATCACTCCAATTATAATCTTTCAATATCTGATGTATAATATGGTTAGATATTATGTCATTCATAATTTTCTAAGGTGGAAAAATAATAATAATAGAGAGTTTTAATTTTAAAACTCTAAAAAAAAAATTTAATGATGTGATAAAAGAAGAGAAAAAAAAAATATAAGTACACACATCATATCACATGCGGATTTCATTTTTTGTCACATCAGTAGAGCTTGTTTACACTATTTAGTTGAGAGATTTAAGAAAAAATTTGAAAAGACAAAAAAAAATTATATAAAATTGAGTAAAATATAAATATATTTTATTTATATTTTACATATTTTTTGAAATATTATCGACCATTACTTTTTTTTCAATTTGGGACAACCTGACAACAACGGATGCATGCGGACAAAAGTTACCTGACAAATGTCGAAGAATCAAATGTACCAAGGCACCGACCTTTCCCCAGTGCCAGCTAAAAGGGTCGCCTTATTAATACAGAAGGAGATGAAACATGTACTAGCTAATAAGATCCTAGATGGAATTTCAACTTTCGCGTGTTACACATTTCTAGGCTGTAGGCTGTGGAGGAGCTAGAATTTTGGCTTAGAGAGATTCCTATTGAGTTGAAATTTTAAATAAAAATTATAAGTAAATTTAAGGATTGTTTATAATATTTTAAATACATGTATTTTTTAATTTTTTATAAAAAGATATATAAAAAAATAAAGAGAAGATGTTGATTGATGTAATCTAAAAAAAATAAAAAGATAAACTTATTTATAATATTTTAAATAAATATATTTTTTAATTTTTTATAAAAAGATATATAAAAAAATAAAGAGAAGATATTAATTGATATAACTTAAAAAAGATAAAAAAATAAAAAATATAAACTTATTTAGTCTTCCCAAACAAGACCTTAATTTAATTTTTATTTGAGGACATGAATGAAAAATATTGTAATGTAAATGTTATATTTAAATATAAGTTTGAGTTAACCGATCTTAATTATTTTTTGTTTTTAATTTGATTTTATATATGGTGATCACATAGTTTGAAAAATAATCACATACCTTACAAAATATAAAAATAAAATTATATTAAGTTGCACACACAAAAGAGATTTATATAAGAATAAATATAACAAAAGGAATGAGAGAAAAGGTGAATAAATTATACAAAGATACTGCTTATATATTACTTATTTTTTCCACAATTTTGAATCATTGAATTACATAGTAATATATTATTAATTATTGTTAATTGTATAATAAGTATATCTAAACAAATGAGCTAATATAAGTATTCATATAAAATGTGACATAACAAAAAACTCAGTAACATATAATATTACTCTAATATTCATATAATATTACTCTACTATAAAAATTGGTGACACATAATAATATATTAAACAAGTTTTTTTTCAAAGGAAAACTATAAAGAAAATAGTGATTTAAAATTTAATATCATATTTAAATGGATTAAATTGAAAAATTTTTTTCCCTAGAAGTAAAAATGCAATTTTTCAAAGGTTGAGGGGCAGCTTCCACACAAAAATATGATGGCTATGAGAATTTGGGTCTTTTGAAAAATAGGAAAAATATGAGATTCAAAGGGTGACTCGTTTGAAAAGTGTTAATTTTAATCTAAAAGATAAAAAGGCATTAAAAAAAATTTAAAAACTTATAAATTATACAAAAATAATCGAAAATTTTATTTTCTCTACTTTTTGTATATTTTTCGTAAAAAATTAAAAAATCATTTCAAACATATATAATTTTTTAACTTTATATATTAACAAAAAAACAAAAAATTACTCAATAATAAACAAAATGTTAAAAATTCTTAACATATTGCTTTGAAACTTGTAAAATATATCTTAATATTCTTAACATATTGCTTTGAAACTTGTAAAATATATCTTAATATTGTGTTTGATTATAGAATTTGAGAATGAATTTGGTAAAAGAAAGAGAAAAATTATATAAAATTAAATAAAATATAAATATATTTTATTCATATTTCACTAACTTTTTTCTCTTTTTCTATTTAAATTTCTTTCTAAATCTCCAAATCACGCACAGCAAAAAGGAAAAAAATATATTTTATTAAATAAATAAATGGGTTAATAAACATCTAATAAATTACCTGCAAAGTGGGACTCGGCAAAGATCGGGTTGGTCACAGATGGAGGAGTGGAGTCTGAGGAGTTGCCACATACGCTTACAACGAGAACACCCACCATTCATCCTTCGTTTACACGTAGCGAAATGCCGAATCAAGAGCTGTAAACCTTGACACGTGTTGAACTTGCTACATGGCCCCTTGTTTTTTGTGGGCTCCATGTCATACGGCCCCACATTCGTACATCCTTCCGTGCATATGTGCTCCAAGCACTCCATCGCTTCGCTTAGCTGTAAATACAAACTCTGCTCCTTTACGTGCCTCTGCCTCCTCTTTTTCCTCTGTTTATTAATTTCAACACTTAAAATTATTAATCAAATAAATTAATTTACAATTTTTTTTTTAAAAAAAAAGTTGCCATATTTCACCTGAAATAAGATTGTATATCATATGTTTTGTTTTTTAATAATTGGATATCTAGACTAATTTATATGAAGCTTGATTAATATATTATGATTGTTTGAAATCAGTATCTTTTAATTTGATCTTCTATACTTCCTAGTTTTGAATCCCACACTTGAGAGACTTCGTTTAGGAAGTTAGGTTTATAGTCAAAAAATTATTATAAATTATCATATTATTTTCTTTACTTTTATACATACTTTCATAAAAAAAATTAAAAATTTAATTAAAATAATTAATTCTCAAACGAGACATATGGAGATACATGAGTTCAAGAGAATTGTCAAATTGGTATCTACAATTTTTTCTTTTCTTTTTACTCCAAATATAAAAATAAACTATTCGGATCCTTAAATTGATCTCAAAATATTTTCAGCAAACAAAAATGCTCTCTCAAATTGGTCAATACAATCCCTTAATTAAAATAGATAGTCCAAACTCATGACTTATTAATCGCTAACCAAAATCAAAAGCTTTTAGATGTTGGGTTTAGGAATGTACCAATTCAGTTTCATCAATGAACTGCAGAATCTGAAGTTCAAGCCAAGGGTCGTGATCCTGTAAGAACTTCCAACCCTCAGTCTTTTCTACGGACCTGACGTCGTTGGAAGCCAGTTTCATGCACCTGAGGTAAAGATCAGGTGCGTCGCAGAGCCTAGCCAGTTGAAGCACGTCGACCACGTTGTCAATCGTCAATCTTTCAGCCAGAGCTTTGGTGCATCTCTGCTTCAGTTGAGGCACCAAGAACACATGAGACACCGCCAGAAGGTGAATCCCAAACTTGTCCAACTCTTCCTCACTGCACCTGAAACCATGCCCACTTTCATCATTTTAACATGCTTAGGCCATCAAAATTAAATCTTTTATCAAATTTAAATTTAATAAAAACAATATTCTAATTATTTCATCAAATTAATATTAAATGAAAAAATATGTATATTTTTTATCAAATCAAAGAAAGTTTAGCCTTTCATCAAATTTTACAAGTAACTATTGGTGAATGACCGGATTTGATGTTATAAATAAAAAATTTAATTTAGACCGGACGACTGACCGAATTTAATAAAAATCTTAATTTACAATTGAAATGTATCCTATTAAATTAAACTTTTATTCAAATTTAATAAAAAATTTAATGAGCGATTAAACATACTCTTCCAAACAATAAAAGTTTTTTAACTCATTTTTTGAAGTATGATTTTGAAAACACGATTTTAATTTTAAAATTGTGATTTCAAATCGTAGTTTAAAGTTTATTTTATTTTATTTTTTTATCTCAATCGTAGTAAATTTTAAAATAAATTCAAAATAATTCATGTGAAACGAGGGTATTATTCAGCTTGCTTGGTTCCAATTTTTCAAAAACAGTTTTCAGAAAATTTTACTTTCTTATTTTTCATGTTTTTTTGTTTTTACTGAATTTTTTTAATATTTTATGCAATTTTTTTATTTTTTAAACACACTTAACATAAATACACCTAAAAAGTAAAAAAATTGTAAAAAAAAATTTCAAAAATTCATTAAATACCAAAAATACAAAAAAAATAGAAGAATTCAGTATATTTTTTGTATTTTTATGTATTTCTTAATTTTTTAAAATATTTTTTTCACAATTTTTTTACTTGTTAAGGTGCATCTAAAAAGTAAAAAAAAATGTTTAAAATTTTAAAAATATTCACTAAAAACAAAAAAATATAAAAATTAAAAAACTCAATTTTTAAAAAATTTAATTTAAAAAACTGAAATCAAACACAATTATTTTATTTTTTTTAATGTTATACGTGTTATGAGGCAGAGAATAACGAAACCGGCCTGAGTATTACATAAAAAATTTAAATATTTGTGAGGAGCAAGATGTGCCACGTGTAAGACAGTGAAGAGAAAGCCGGCTACGATTCGACGAGAAGAGTCTAATTATATAATTATTGTTAGCAGTAAATTATTGATATTTTAGGTGACGAATATCAAAAGCAGCCGTCGGTGATGGACCTAATTGTTACATCAATATATGAACAATTCAAGTAAGCGATTCATCCTAATTGTCACATCTTAAAAATTGGCAATTTTGATTCAATCACTCCTTTGGTTTTAAAATATTAATTTTTTATTATTTTAAAATATTAATTTTTTAAAAAAAATTAAGAGATAAAATAAAATAAAATTATTATTTTATCATTCTTCTAAATTTATTAATAATATAAAAAGTCCAATTAAAATCATTGATATTTTTAAAAAAATATATTATCAAATAATAATTTTTAAAAAATTAATATTTTTAAAATATAATAATTATATTATCAAAAAAATTAAATTTTTCAAAAAAAGAACCATTGTTTTAGAACGGAGTGTTGTCGAAAAGTGGACTTTTTAATTTTTTTGTTATTATTTAAATTTAAGATTAAAAAGTCACGTTTGAAAATGGCTTATATCTTTTTTGATTTTTTTTATAAAAAAATATATATAATAATTATAAATTAAATATAATATTTTATCTTATTAAATTAAAAATTTATTTTATTTTTTTATAACTATTTTAGTAAAAAATAATCCAAAACTAAACTTTCCAAAGCTGAGTCAAAAATGATAAAATTCTAACATAATAGTAGTTTTGACCTCGGAGAGAGAGAGAGAGAACTGACTTGGAGGTATAGAGAAATCGAACGAACACGGCAACGGCTTCGCAAGGAACGCCCAGGATCGGGATAGTCCTTTCGGAGCTCCGGTGTTTCCGAGGCCGATCTATGGTGCTTTCCAGTACCGGCGACGCTGAAGCCTGCAATTTCCAAACACAGAACAGCGAAAAAGTTAGATAATTCGAATCAAATGACTCAAAAAAGGAAGATTTTTACAACAATTGAGTTGATTCGGATTAAAATTCGAGATTCAACAACTGAAAAAGAAAACAGAGCATGAAAACATTTTAATCCACAATTTGGACAGAGCCGATCGATCGGATGACTAAAAAACAACTTTAATTCGATGGACTTCAGACTTAAAAGACGAAAATTGAAGGTTTTGTAGCGTAATACTTCATTTATCTACAAACCTACCATTTCCAGGCACAGGACAGCGAAAAAACGATATATTTCAAATCAAACGCCTAAAAAACGGCATATTCATAGAACAATTAAGTTCATTCGGGTTGCAATTAGCGATTCAACAACTAGAAAAGCAAAACAGATCAAATTCACATTTCGATAGAATGACGAAAAAACGACTTGAATTGGAGTTTTGTTGCGTGATACTTGATTAATCTACAGCGATTAGAATGTAAAGCAGAAGATCGGAGAACAGTTCTGATTCGATACCAGGATGCTACGGTGCGCCGGGATGCGGAGTCCGCCGGAGGTGATAACTTGGACATCAGGTTCAGGCAATTCAACGGAGAATTGATCGGAATTGATCGGAAATGGAGAGTAGCCGGAAATTTCGTCGGAAAAGTTCGTCGGAGACATGGTTGGAGTTGGTAGAGAGCGTCTTCGAATCTTGTGTGAGAGGGAGAGTCGTTGGGAGTCTTCTTGAGAAGCCATTGAGAGCTGTCCTTGCCTTTATAGACAACAAGAAAGCAACCAAACAAAACCAAAAATGTTACTGGGCTCACGCACAACGCGCTATGGTTTGTGTTTGGATGCCACGCGCTCTGATTCTACTAATACGTGCTTGTGCTTATCTGTCCAGTGTGCAGCTTATGGCTAACTTTTGGGAAAATTACACATCAGACTATGTTTTAAAAAAAAAAAAAATTAATGGAAAATTTTGTACATATTAACATTTATAAATTTTTCATTAATTTATAAATAATTGGTAAAAAAAATTCCTGATACGTAATTTTTCCATAACTTTTTAGAAATTTTAAAATTTGTGTTTGAGTATTTGGTGTAAACAGCAGTGATTCAGACCCCCTCAAACTTCAACCCCCACCACCCCACACACACGTGGCGGGTGGTGATTGGAGGAGGAGAAAAAACAGAAAAACAAAAAGAAAAAGTGACTAATCAAAAAAGAAAAGGAGTCAAAAGGGGTGGAGAAAAAGGGGTCCCAATCTTTATTCTTGTCCTTTTTATATATATATATATATATATTTTACGTTGACTTTTCATATTTTAAATTTTTATCAAATTACTCCAAAAGTTAACTACTGCATAAAATTATACACAAAATGACATATTAACAATTACGTGATATAAAAATATTTTATTATCTATGACTCACAAGCTCAAGGTGTAATAAACTAATTATTGAGATATAGAAAAATTGATAATTTCATTTTCTATGTTCAATTTATAAAAAGGTATATTAAACAGCCAAATGCAAAAATATGACATTGTATTCAAATCCATTTAAATAAAAATCAAAATGTAATTGGAAACATATTTTATTATCTATCAAATACTAAACATTAATACAGAGGAGTTAGTCATAACATTTTGAAAATTTGAAAAGAAAGGGGCTAATATAGTTTGAGAATAATTAATAGTTAATACCAGTATAATTAGATTTATTTATTTATTTTTAAATTGTAGGAATGACTATCATCTCTATGTACTATCCCTATATATATATATATATATTTGTGGATGATTTACTATGCTAAGTTTGGTTCACCAGTATAGATACTGGGTATTTGGTAGGGTTTATACAAATAACTTATTAGCCTATTTTAATTTGAATGTTAGTGTCAAACTATGAGATTCCGTGAGAGTGAGAGGAATTTCCGCCGCGATGTCGGTGAGAGAGGATGAGCCGTCGCCGTCGTATGTGTGAGAGAGAGTGGGAGAATCGGCGGTGAGAAAGAGGAGAGAGCAGAGCGTCCTTGGTTAGAGAGAGGAGAGAACAGCAGCATATGAGTGAGTCTGAATGAGTGAGGGTAATGTTTTAGGTCTGGGTTTTATATATATATATAGGGGTGAAATTGTAATTTTGATTCGGGGAACAAACCGGGGCGGGGGACGGGGCGGGCCAAAAAAAAAAAAGAAGAGAACTACTAACAAGTTACAACACAAGATATAAATAATAAAACATATATTTTTGTAAAAATAAAAAATAATACTTTAAAAATATGCATGTGTGGTGTCATGATCTATTATAGACAAATAATACATATTTTTTCAGATTATTAGTTATTGGAGATTGTAAAATTAATGAATTATAATTCGAAATAAATGTCCAAAATTTGTAAAATCCAAACCGCCAAACGGGTCGAATCCATCTGCTAACCCACATGGCCCGCATAATCCGTATCTGCCAAACTGGTGGACGAATGCGGATTGATTTTTTTCAATCTGCCTAATTTGGGACGAATGGCGGATGAGATGTTACTCGATCCAACCCGATCTGCGATCACCCTTACTGGCTACCACCAGTCAAATTTTTGAAAAATTATACTTTCATCATGTATTTTTGAATATTTGTAAAAGAATTTTACATTTTCATCCCTTCAAAATTTATATAATTTTACTTCAATCTCTGTAGAATCTAAGTAATTTTACTTTTGTTAAACTACATTATTTTCATGCAATTTTTAGTAATTATAAAAGCAATTAATAGTTTAGCTATCCTAATCTTTGAAAAATCCCATTACTTTTTATAAAATAAATTAGTATTTTGGTTCTCAAAATCTATATAATTTTATTTCAATTCCTCTAAAATGTAAACAATTTTGTTTTAGCACCCCTTGCACAATTTATGCATCCGTGAGTGTGAGTAAAAAAAATAAATATTTGATTATATGATTTAGGTGATTCAAATTATAAGATTACATGTCTACTCATTAAATTAAGTTCATTATTACTGATTAAAATAAGTTGTCTAACATATAACCTGAATAAAATATTTATAACATAAATAAACAACTTGACTTAAAAAATAACAATGCGTGTGTAATTCAAAAGAACATAATAACATAAAAATAATGATAAAAATATATATACATATATTATGTGTTGCCTAAATGATAATGACTTATTTTGCAAAACCATTAATCTTGGTTTCAAGTATTGTCACATTCTTTTTTATATAAATATCAACTAGTATATAGCAAGAAATATAAATAAACAATCAAAAATTAGTTTCTAAATGAAAATAATAATATAAATTTTATTTAAATTATGTAGTAAAAATGATTTATAATCAATTAAATTTTATTCATTTTTATCAGAATTGCACATAAGAGATGATTTTTATTCTGATATCATCAATTGTGTGTTCTAAGTTCTTAATAAAAAAAACAACATATCATAATTTAATTGGTAGAAATTAAAGAATAAATTACAAAAATTATAATTACTATAAAATATAAATACATTTCATTTATAAGTTTTGTAATTTTAATTTATCATATAATAGTAAATTAAATTTGTTAATATACAAATTTTTTCTTATTTTGTAAATCCTAGAAATTTGTCTAATCAAAATTGTAAATTACCATATGTCATAATTCTTACGTGAAAATAGATTAGGATTGACTTATAGTGTTAGACTAAGGAGTGTTTTGGAAAATTGGTAAAAAATTAACTTTTGGCTTTTTATCAAGCTTTTTAGCTTTTTTGGGAAGTGATTTAAGAAGTTGGTAAAAAACTAGCTTTTTATTTTTTGATTTAATATTTATTTATGGTGTCAAATCACTTTAAAATAACCAAAATACCCTTACTCACTTTAAAATGAATGTGCTTTGCTTAGGCCCCAATTTGTTAAGACGGAGGGTAGTTGTGTAAATTGACAGACTTACATTTTTATCTCTTCCCAAATGGTGTTTGCTGCGTTTTTACAAAGCATTGCGTTTTTCCCTTGCATGAAAACGTTTGTTTTTTACAAATGTTCCCAAAACGGCACTAAATATTAGAAGTGACCTAGAAACTACTCAACTCAATATTTATATTAATGTGACCTTCACCTAATCATTAAAAATTATCTTTGTCGATTTGTGACTTGTATGAGCTAATTTGAGAGTTCTAATATTAGATTAAATATTAAAAACTAGCCTAAAAATTCTAATTTGAGTAGATTTTTTTCTAACAATTATTGGTTTAAGTTATAACACATCATATTTTAATAACTCAATATCATAAAATAAAATAAAAAAATCTTAATGTTTATGATGTTTTTTTATGAATCAATAAAAAAAAATTATAAATATTAAGAGAATTAAATTTGAAAAAATTCGAACATAAAATTTTTACTTTAAAACTTTAAAACCTACCCATTTTCTTTGACTCTATAACTTATTTTTGAGATAGCAACTAAAATAAATTTCAATCATTATTATATTAGGAGACATGTGTGATAAAAGTTTGTAGTACACAATTTTTAAAATTAATATTAATTTTAAATTTTCAGTATGGAAAAGGCACCGTTTGGGAATGTATTTTGGGCTATTTTAGCCATTACTGGACAAAAGAGGCTAAAGTAGCCAAATGGAGACAAGAGCCACTGCAATTGATTGGCAACAACCCACTTCAAGGTAAATTTACCAAACTACCCCCACATGAAAAACTACAAATAAAAACAAATTTATGTATACAAATAAAAATAAAAATAAAAATGACAAAAACATAAATTAAAAAAAAAAGAACCACAAAAAAACGCCTCATCAACAAAAAAAAAATTAAAAACAGAAATTAGCATTTGCCATGTAATTAAAAAAAAAATAAAACACATGAAAACCCATTTTTGAAAAATAAAAACAAATTAATGTATACAAATAAAAAAAATGACAAAAACGTAAATGAAAAAAAAAGAACCACAAAAACACGCCTCATCCAAATATTAGCATTTTCCACGTCATTTAAAAAAAAAACATAAAAAATCCTTTTCCAAAAACAAAAAACAAATTAAAACAAAAAAAAACCGAAATTATCATTTTTCAGGTCATTTGAAAAAAAAAAACATAATAAAGCCTTTTCCAACAAAAAGTAAAAATAAAAAACAAAAACAACAACAAAACACATTAAAATGAAACTCAAATAAGCATTGTCAACGTCATTTAAAATTAAAAAACAAGAAAAAAGCTTTTCAAAAAAAAATTAAACAAAATAAAAAGTCAATAAAATGAAACGACAAAAACATAAATTAAAAAAAAAAGAACCACAAAAAAACGCCTCATCAACAAAAAAAAAATTAAAAACAGAAATTAGCATTTGCCATGTAATTAAAAAAAAAATAAAACACATGAAAACCCATTTTTGAAAAATAAAAACAAATTAATGTATACAAATAAAAAAAATGACAAAAACGTAAATGAAAAAAAAAGAACCACAAAAACACGCCTCATCCAAATATTAGCATTTTCCACGTCATTTAAAAAAAAAACATAAAAAATCCTTTTCCAAAAACAAAAAACAAATTAAAACAAAAAAAAACCGAAATTATCATTTTTCAGGTCATTTGAAAAAAAAAAAACATAATAAAGCCTTTTCCAACAAAAAGTAAAAATAAAAAACAACAACAACAACAAAACACATTAAAATGAAACTCAAATAAGCATTGTCAACGTCATTTAAAATTAAAAAACAAGAAAAAAGCTTTTCAAAAAAAAATTAAACA